ATGTTAGGGAAATGAACCCCAAGATAAGTATTCAAATTCTTTTTCTTTCATGCTATTGTTTCTAACATATTTATAAGATGATTTCTTTGTTGCTTTGAATGTCCTTCCCCCACGGTATAACCCCTGATTTCACTGTATTTGATGTTGGTATAATTTGTGGAGGAGAAGGGAAAAAACGAATCGTTTAAATAGGAATACAGGTGGACCTGTTGCAACAATGAGATGTACAAGTCGTTATGTTGAAAAACGAACTTTACAACTTTGGTGGGGGGGAGAAGGGGAAGATAATCGGGTAGGGGGGGTGGGGAGGTATGGGAAGGGATGGGAAGGGGAAACAAAGGAGGAGGCAACAATGCTTGATAAGAAATGTATTCATTATCTTGCCCATGTAATTGTAACCCCTCTGCACGCTATTTTCACAAGTAAAAAATATTAACTATATCAATGCATTCAATCATTTTCCATATGATCTTTCTATCACACATAAGCGCAAAAATAAAAATGAATCATGAAAATAAAGGAGCATCTAAAAATTGGTGTTTTGGGTGACCAAGTTATTACCTTTATGTGTCAGAGTAGATTAAGGATCCCAGATAAATGGCAACATATTACATAAGTGTCTGTGAAGATGTGTCTAAGAAGAGTTTTATTTTATTTTATTTATTTTTATTTTTTTGTCGTGAAAATACTGTACAAAGGGCTTACAGTTACATGATCCAGGTAATGAGTACATTTCTTATCAAGTATTGTTGCCTCCTCCTTGGATTTTCCCCTCCCTTCCCTTCCCTCCCACCTCCTCGGCTATACCTCCCCAAACACACCTAAATTGTAAAGTTTGTTTTTTGACATAGCATCGTATACATCTCATTGTTGCAAGGGTAAATATGTACCCTATTTAAACAATTTGTTTTTTCCTTCCCCTCCCCAAATTATACCAACATCAAATACAGTGAAAACAGGGGTTATACTATGGGAGAGGAACATACAAAGTAACAAAAAAATCACAAGGTACCTTATAAATATGTTAGAAACAATAGCAAGGAAGAAAAATAACCAGTTGTGTCCCTATCTTGGGGTTCATTTCACTTGGCAGAATTCAAAGAAGGTCCTCCCTCACTAATGTGGGTATCAATCAGCCAATCCACTGATGCTCACTTGAATGGGAGAAAGGGTACATTTTGAATTCTCTTTTTAAAGTGATGCATCCACTTCTAATTGAACTCTGTCAGAAGTTACAACTGCTTCCTATCGGGCCCTGGGTCACCAAGATAAGCATAGGTATATTTCACTCCTAATTGCCAAATCTTTGCTAATGAATTGAATTAAATCATCCACCTTCCCTTGGAAAAAATTATATTAAATGAAGTAAGCCAGGCCCAAAGAAACATAGGTCCCATGGTTTCCCTTATTTGCAATAACTAGTATATGTATGAGTCAAGCAGAAAA